CCTCCAGGTTCCTGCCCTGAGTTCCTACCTTGGGCTCCCTGATAAACTGTGACCCGGGAGATGTAAGATAAATAAACCCTTTTCTCCCCAAGTTGGTAGTGGTCAGAGTGTTTTGTCACAGCAATGGAAAATCAAACTAAGACAGCAGTTAAGAGCACTACTGTTTTTCCAGAGGACCCAAGGTGGAATCCCAGCACCCACATGGTGGCTAACAACCATCCATAACTCCAGTTCCAAGGGAATTTGACAACCTTCTCTGACCTCCATGGGTATTGCAAGATACAGGTACACTTAAACACATACACGTAAAAATAAAAATAATAAATAAAATGTTAAAAAGGAACAGTACCCACATTTTCCCCCTTGTCCACCTGACAAAAATCCCCTCGCCCCAAGTGTTTATAAAGAATTTAGTCTGTAAAAAGATAACCTGCATTCAACAAGTAAACTCGTTTGCCTGGACTCTTCAGAATTTCATAATATTTTGCTTTTCTGAACTTTTGAGGCTGTCTGTCCCACAGTCTCCCCTAACACTAGTTCCTAATGGAACATACTGTGCCTGCTCACATCAGAGTCCCTATCCCTGCTTCACTCCACTTTAATTTTCCATTTGGGCACAGACAGTTGTATTACCTGTTTACAAGTAACCTTAACTTTCAGATTAAAGAATAATCTTTGCATATGTTACTGATTTGAGGAAGCAGATATTTTATGTTAGTTTGTGAAACTGAACACTAAAGAGTGGTTGTTGTTTAAATTTCTTTTTCTGGGAACTCCTGGCCCTTTCTCACTTTCTTCCACTCTCTTGATGACAGGTGGGCTTAATTTGTTTATTTTTATGTATATGAGTGGGGTTTTTCTGGTTTTGTTTTTTTGGGGGTGGGGTGGGGGTTTTTTGTTGTTGTTTTGGTCTTTTTGAGACGGGGTTTCCCTGTAGCCCCAGCTGGCCTGGAACTCACTATGTAGACCAGGCTGGCCTCAAACTCACAGAGATCCACCTGCCTCTGCCTCCCAAGTGCTGGGATTAAAGTGTGTGCCACCACGCCCGGCGTATATGTGTTTTTTACCTGCATGTATGTAAGTACACTTGTGTCATGCAATGAATGCTCTCGGAGGTCAGAGAGAGTATCAGATCCCCTGGAACTAGAGTATGTAGGTGCTGGGAACCAAACCCAAGTCCTCTGCAAGAGCAGGCAGTGCTCCTAACCACTGAGCCATCTCTCCAGCCCCCCTCTAGTGGCAGGTTTTCAACACTGTCAGTCCACTCCAGTTGAAGACCTCATTTCTCTTACTGTTGAACTTGTAGTCCTTAACACCATGGAAGACGATTCATGTATTGCAAAGAGGACAGAATATGTAGACAGAGTCCACCAAGTATTATCTTTGTGTCTTGAGACAGATTCCCTAAAATCAGGCTTCTTCATGAGCTTATTTAGCAGACATAGTCTTGGCAAGAATAGAATTACTGTAGAAAGCAGCTTACCGCTGGCACACATCAGGTACATTGTTGGTCACCATCTACCACATTAGAGCCATGCCACCTAGCGCACACACTTCGTCATCTTTGATAGTGCAGCGTTCTTCAGAAACTTAAGTCAGTTCATCATCATATCTTTTATCAAACCAAACCTCTGTGTTTTGCCACAAGTATCTTCAGTGTTCCCCTTGATTGAGTTCCACCTGTCTGTGCTGCCACTCTCCATTTTAACTCCTCAGTGTGATAGCTGTTACTGCCCTACAATGAGCCTCTATAGCAACTTTTGCCTCACTGACTTGACACTTGATAAATACTTAGGCTATGCTATCAACTACAGTAGGATAGGATGAATGCTCTATCAGGCCCATAGTGGTGTGGCAGTACAGGCAGCTTAACGATTTCAGACAGTGGGGCAAGGCTTCACAAAAGAGATGTGAAAGATCTTGGTATGTTCACTGTCTGAAGAAGTCAGCATGACGGACACGTGGGAAGGTGAAGAGATGTTGCAGGAGGTGACGTTACCAAAGTCTGCATCCACAGATACAAAAAAAAAATTTCAAGCATGTGAGTTGCCATGAAAGAGGATCGCAGAATGGTGAGAGGATGGTGTCGGTCTAATCTCATTTGGGGAAGGCCTTGATTGATACACACTCCAGCTGAGACACAGCAGGAATTAGAGGCCACTCTGGTTGCTTTGTAGAGAGTAGACATGAGCTGATCTTGGACAACATATTGAGGGTGTTATACTGAATTAGAAGCATGTGAAGTGGGAGCAGAGGGGTGGGTGAATGGAAAGATGGGAAATAAAGTGGACAGGACATGGCGTGATCAGGGTGAGGAATTAGAAGAAAGTACCAGGGAGTGAGTGCTGCATCCTTGGTTAGGCATGGAGGAAGACAGGGAGTGGAGAACTTGACTTGTTCGGCATATTTCCTTCTGAGAGGCCAGCGGTCATGGCTGTGGGATTGTTAAGTAGGAAATTGTGAAAGCCTGGAGAGGTGGCTCAGCGTGTTGCTACAGGAGAAAACTTAACTCCTACGAGTTGTCCTCTGACCGCACACGCTGTGGGTTGTATGAGCACATGCACATACACAATGAATGTAGAGTACAGAGAATGGAATGAGAAGTATGAAGAGTGGCTCACAGAAAAGCTGAGGCACATGTCTGCAAACTGAATGATAAAAAGCAATTGCAATCATAAAGGTGAGTGAGATCACCTAACACAGAGACTGGCAACTTTGCTTAAAAAAAAAGAAAAAGGAAATGTCTTTACAGCAAGAAAGTAGCCATAAATGAAGCATAAATGATCAAGCACCTAACTATTAACTGAACCATTTCTAGGTCAAGAGTTAACCTAGAAAAGGCGCCTAGAGTAAAAATAGGAAGATCCAGAATGTGGAAAACCCGAGGTGTCAGGGAGGAGCCAACAGCCAGTTAGGAAGAGAAGGAAGAAAGCTAAAAGAGACTCATGTCATGGAGACCCAAGGGGAAAGGCTCTGAGATGGAGATTGAGGCACGGCTGCTGATTGCTAGTGAGAGGTCGGAGAGACGGAGGATATATACCCATGGGGTTAGGGACATAGTTCAGAGAACAGAAACCCTTGTGAGCTGGAACTGGGCAAATGCCAGTGGGGATGGGCCGTGTAGTCTGCAAGAGAGGTGGGTACTTGACCTTGAATGAGATGTGCCAGTGCATTAGAATGGAGTGCAGAAGACAGGACTTGTGGCTTCCCAAGATCAGGAACAAATGTGGAGTTAAGGTGTCAGCAGAGTGTGTGGTAAAGACTCGAGAGGTTCACAGGTAGAGAGGAGGTCTCTGCACAGTGATAGAGTTAAGGCTGGCTCACAAGGGGTCCAGTAACTCTGAAAACTGTACATACACTGAAATTCAGGATTTCCTGAAACCCCAGCTGACCTAGGTCAAGCTGGCCTTGATCTCAAGAGATAGGTCTGTCTCTCCCTCCCAAATTCTGGGATTAAAGGTATGTTCTACCACACTGGATGAGAGCAGGCAACTTTATTGGTGGGCTGTATAGACATTAAAATTTCATGGGAGTTCTACAGATGGAATTTATAAGGAGAATATTTAGACTAAAAGATGGGTGTCATAGAGGAAAGGGCTGGTAATAGAAAGTAACAGGCAAAGGCGATCCATCCTGTGAAGGAAGAATTGGCCCTGGTGACAGGAGGAGGAGTCAGGGTCACTCCAGAATGAGTTCTTGGGAGAATCCTGGTCCTTGTGAGATCAAGGTCAGCCTGTTCTACATAGTGGGTTCCAGGCTAGTTGTAGCTACAAGGAGATCCTGTTGTCCCTCCCTCCCAAAAAAAGGGAAAAAAAAAAAAAAGCTTAGTTGGTGCTGAGCTTTGGACTAATGTGTTGATATCCTGTTCACTGAGGCCTCCAAAAGCATTTCAAAGGTAGGAGCTGGGAACATGGCTCAGTAGAGTGCTTGCCTAGCGTGCACAAGGCCCTGGATTCAATCCCCAGAACCAAATAAACCAGGAGTATGGTGTGCATTGTAATCCCAGCACTCTGGCAGGTAGGGGCAAGAGAAACTGGTTCATGGTAATGCTTGGCTACATAGTGAGTTTAAGGCCACCCTGGGCTCTGTGAGACCCTATCTCAAAAAGAGTCTGACTGTGCGATCCTAGAGTTCTATAACACCTGGCCATTCTCTCTTTAACAGGAACTGTGGACAAGCACTCAGTGGAGGTCACCAATTGCTTTTCAGTGCCACACAATGAGTCAGAAGACGAAGTAAGCAAGAGTTTAGCAGCTACCCTGTAGTTTATAGCCATTCATCTGCCAGGCTCCCTGCACAATGCTTGTTACTAGAGCCGCATTCAAGGCGCTGCTGTGGGGGGGAGGGGGGCGTCCTTCCACTCTGTTTTGGCATGCACTTCTAGCTTCTTCTTTTCCTCCTTCCCCCGTAGGTGGCTGTTGACATGGAATTCGCTAAGAACATGTATGAATTGCACAAAAAAGTCTCTCCAAACGAGCTCATCCTGGGCTGGTAAGTTGGAGAGGGTGGAAGTGGATGGAGCTTCTGAGGGAGCACCGAGTTCTTTTGTCATCACTGGATCTTGTCACCGCTTTCGGAGTGTACAAAGTGTGTGGCCTTGGAACTATGAATTCAGTGTGTTTCACTGATGATTCTGATCCATAAAGTCAAGAATGTTTCAAGAATTTATTTTCAGTTACAGCTTTTGTTAGGCCTTTTTTTTTCCTTTTTTTCTTTTTTTTTGAGACAGGATCTCACTGTGTAGCCATGGCTGACCCTGAACTCACATTGATCTCTGCCTCCGAAGTTCTGGCCCTGAGGCATGCGCCAGTCAGACCTGGCATGCAGAGGTTTTTACCATGGGAGTGTAGATACCCACAGACACTATATTAATATCACTCATATATTTATATATTTGGTATTGAAGTCATGTCATGAGTCTTTACTCCATTTTTCAGGTATGCGACAGGCCATGATATCACAGAACATTCGGTGTTGATCCATGAATATTACAGCCGGGAAGCCCCGAACCCCATTCACCTCACTGTGGACACAGGTCTCCAGAATGGCCGCATGAGCATCAAGGCCTATGTCAGGTGACCCAACCCCCCCACCGATGCCTGGATGATTAAACGCCACTCAGGTTGAATCCTTCAGTGTGCAGCTCGTTGCCCCTTCAGGAAGTCCATTCCTCTCTTCCAGCACTAGGAAAGTTGCTGGAGCAGAATCTGTTCCATACTTTCCACTCACTGGTCCTTGTTATACTGAGTATGTGTTGTTTGTTGCCATGCCAAATTACAGTCTGTTAGGTGTATAAACAAGCCATCCTGTTTCATGTCAGTTTTCTGGACAGACAGTCCTCACATGGTGTGTTGTCATAATCCTTTCGTGACTGTGGTCACTGCTTTCTAACTTACTTGAGTTTTTAATACCTGAACTTAGCACAGTACTTACAAATTAAAATTTAGTGGAGTTACTAATTTAGTGGATGGCTGGTCTTATTTTAAACACATCTTTTAAGCTGGGATTGAGTATAGTTCTGTTGGGCCGATAACATTACGGTGTTGACACATAGACCTTTTAGGCAGTGACATTGCCAGTTGCTGGGACATGCTGCAGAAGGCTGGAGCAGCTGCAGAAGAGGCTGCCGAGGGAGCTGGGAGGATTGTCTTCTGGTTACAGTAATTTGTTAGCTAGCTCTTGGGCTGTTTAATTTTGTGCTGCTTCTGTGTTTGACTCGAAGTAGCCAGTTTCTGTACAGCGGGGCAGAAGTAGCTGCTCTGCCAAGGCTGGTGTTCCAGGTAGTGTACACGGAGCTCCAGCCCTTACCTGTTCTTTAGCCTTTACTGTATACCTCTTCAAAACGCAGATGGAAATGTAGACTTGAAATAGTAAACACGGGGCTGGAGAGATGGCTCAGCAGTTAAGAGCACTGGCCGCTCTTGCAGAGGATGTGGTTTGATTCCCAGCACCCATATGGCAGCTAGCAGCCATGTGTAACTTCAGGTCTAAGGGATCTGATGCTGTCTTCTACCTTCACAGGCATTACATGACATGGGTGCACTTACATGTAGGCAAAACACTCAAGCACATAAAAAATAAAATTAATAATTAAAATAATAATAAATAGCAATTTAGTGGAGTTACTTTTAGTGCCAATCTAGTGGTTTAAGGTCAGTCTATTTGGTGTTTTAGTGCTAATGAAAAGGCTCAGTCCCAGAAAAGATCAGTGTCTTAGATGTGTTTTCCCTGGAGGTAGGTGTTGAGGCAGCCAGCTCCATAGGGATTCCAGAGCCCTGTCTTCATCACTGGCATTACAGTGTGTGAAGTCATCCTCTCAGGGACCAGGCCAGGTCCAAAGGCTGAGTTCCTTCTTACAGGCCAAAAGTTTGCTCCAGTGGTACTTCAGAGGAGGTCCTGGTTTTCCAGGCCAAAACCATAGAAGTCATTACCCATTGTTACTACTTTCCCAGGACAGTCTAGACATGGACACTCTGTCCCCGACGATGTCTGTTTACCTTTGTTCTCCATCCCCAGCACTTTAATGGGTGTCCCTGGGAGGACCATGGGAGTGATGTTCACACCTCTAACAGTGAAGTACGCGTATTACGACACAGAACGCATTGGAGGTGAGCGTCCTTCCTGTGCACCCCTGGAGATCCTAGGTTTGTTCAGGGGAGAGAGCTCTTGCTCTGTAATGAAGATGGAGGCCTAGAGTGGCTTAAAGAAGAACATTGATTCAAGGTCTGTGATGACTGAGAGTTGAGGGATTATTCAAGGTAGGACATTATCAGTCTCAGAGGCCACACAATCCAGACCAGAACCAGTGATTAGCATGGCAGGTGGAGGAGCTGAGCTCCATCAGAAGGAAGGAAAGCCAGTGAGGGCAGAGCAGGGAGTTTGGGGATCTGACTACATCCAGAGGGGGTGGAGGGAGTTAGAGGGTGGTTAGAGACCTTCTCTTCCCAAATGTCATGAGTCTTTCCTTCTCTTGTCTCTTACTGTCTGGCCCACAGTTGACCTCATCATGAAGACATGTTTTAGCCCCAACCGGGTGATCGGGCTCTCAAGTGACTTGCAGCAAGTAGGCGGGGCCTCGGCTCGAATCCAGGATGCCCTGAGCACTGTGTTGCAGTATGCAGAGGACGTGCTGGTGAGAGGGGAAGGAAGAGTGAGGAGGTGGTAGATCTCCACCCTGAGGCCACCGTGGGATCTGCTGAAGTGAGAGCACTGAGGGGAGGGACTGTGCCTCATTGACTCTGTTTTGTGTTCAGTCTGGAAAGGTGTCTGCTGATAATACTGTGGGCCGCTTCTTGATGAGTCTGGTTAACCAAGTACCCAAAATAGTTCCTGATGACTTTGAGACCATGCTCAACAGCAACATCAACGTGAGTGCCATTCTGGGCCCCTGGGAGTTCAGAGGAGACTGGTGCTGTGCAGTCCTGGGTGGAGGAGGGGCGAGGTAGTACACATGAGTGTTCGGGAGTCTCTTCCTTCCCTAGTCCATCCTCTCAGGTACTGGTGATGTTACTTGTTAGCTTGATTCCTGATAGAAAGAAATGCTAAAATTCAGAGATAATGACAACAGTTTCTAATTTGCCATCTGCATTCACAAACACCCCATTGCACCCATGGGCCTCCCCTAAAGCACCCCATTCTGTATGTGCGTCCCTAGAGTAGGAAGGCATCCTAAGCGTTTCCTTCCTGTCTTCCCCCTCCACCTCTGCTCAGGCTGTCCCCACTGTCATTATTCAGGACTGTCTTCACAACCAGTGTCCAAGTGGAGCTGGCCAGGACCAGCCTTCAACCCCTCCTTCACTGTCCTTTGTCTTTCAGGACCTGCTGATGGTGACCTACCTGGCGAATCTCACCCAGTCACAGATTGCCCTCAATGAGAAGCTTGTAAACCTGTGAGTGGGCCCCAAGCGGCACTTGTGCTGCTCTTGAGTTTCACTCTAGGACTCAGATGGAGTGGAGGCTAAAGGGTTTCATTGTGGCCTTGAGTCATACTGATTCAGCCAGCTGCTTTTGACTCCAAATAAACAGAGCCTGCCTTTTGTAAGTGCATTCCATCTGATGTGAGTTTATTGCTGGGTGAGAGGAAGAACGGTGTCTTGAGCTCACACAGAAGCCAGGGAGTGGGCACTGTAGGAAGGAGTTGGGTATGTGCAGGCATGATCATCAGCAGTAGCTGCACCCACAGCCCAAGCCACGCTAGCTTCAGCCAGCCCCACACCAGACAGGTTTCTCACACGTAGGTTTTATGGCAGTACTTTCCCCCTAACTCTTAACAATCTTAACAAACTGGAACTCTAGGTTTGGGGTTTTAGTTTCTATCTTTCTGTGCTCCAGAGTATCTTACATGAATGGCAGTACCAGGGGTAACCTCATGCCCAGAGGGAGGACCTGGAGATGGGCTAGTGAGCAGGAGGAGAGGGAAAAGAAGAGGATGGACACACCTCAGGATGGACCCATGAGTCCATGAGGGTACAAAGCCATCTCCATTGTGAGGAACATCTGCTTTACCAGGCTGCCCCACCAGGTGTCCATGGTGCTACTGTGAAGTGTAACGCAGTGGTTTTTCTGGTTTCCATGGGAAACTAAAACAAGAATCAAGGAAGAAAAGTAGTTAAGAAAATCAGCTGCTTAACTTTTGGGGGTGGTTTGTTTTTTATTTGAGACGGGGTCTCTCTGTAGCCCCAGCTGGACTGGAATTCACTGTGTAGACCAGGCTGGCCTTGATCTTACAGAGATCCACCTGCCTCTGCTACCCAATGCTGGGATTGAAGGCATGTGTTACCACGCCTGGCCACTCACTGCTCAGCTTGCGATAGTTGAATGGTAGGGTGGAGCTATTGGCCACTTAGGTTCGGGGGGTGGATTTAGGATCAGTAGGCAAAGTTTAAAGAGATTATGTCAAAATCTCAAAAATTCTCAAGTGCTTTTTATAGCATCAGAGCAACTAGAGACCTTGTAAAATCGAAGATCTGCCTGTAATCCCAGATACCCCTTTCTTCTGACATCCCAATGTCTTGGATTGGAAAAGAAATGGGGAGTGAGGGCCTTGTACATGCTGGAGTAGCAGAGTGAATGGGATGGAGCTCAGTTGCTGAGTGTTTGCCCAGCATGTGCAAGGCCCTGGTTTCCATCCCCAGCACTAAATAAAGTGGGCGTGGTTGTGCACACCTATAAACTCCAACACTCTGGAGGTAGAGGCAGGAGGATCAGGAGTCAAGAGCCAGCCTGAGCTACATAACAAGAACGAATCTGGATCCTAATTCTGGTCCTGAAACACATAATCTTAGGAAAGTAGGAGTCCTAAGATGTAGACCTGATAATACATAGCCACTGGGGTCAGAGGGATTTGGTGAATTAGTACCAAGTTAACATTTGTAGCACACTGCCTGGCATAGAGTAGGAATCAGTAAGGGATGGATAATCATACGTTTAAAACTAAATAGGATTTTGAAAGTATTTATGGTTTGGATAAGTGGCCCCCACAGGGCTATGTGTTAAAGACTTGGTGTCATCCCCCTGACACCGCCCCCCCAGCACTACTGTGGGGAAATGGAACCTTGAAGAGGTGAGTCCTGGTGGATGGAAGTTGAGATGATGGGGGCATGCCCTTGAAGTGGATATCATGACCCCAGGCTTCCTCTGCTTCTGTCTGCCATGAAGTGAGCAGTGTGTTCACCATGCGTTCCTGTCTCAACAAGGGCTTGAGTGGACAGCAACCATGATCCAAAATAAACCCTCCTCTTAAAGTTGACTTTGGTATTTGGTCATAGAGATGGAAGTCTGGCTAACAGGTTGCAATAAAAATTTAACTCTGAAAACCCCTTGTAAATATGAAGAGAGAAGAATGGTTTTGTGCGTTCATGTCCATGTGAGTGCATGCATGTGGGGTCTGAGCACAGCGTCAAATATTGGTCCTCCGCTTCCTCATTTGATGTAGTTTACTGCTGTGGATGCCAGGCTAGTTGGCCCCCAATCTTAACCAGGATCCTCCTCCCCTCTGTAGGAGTGCCAGGGTTACAGACATGTACTATGAGCCCAGCTTTTATGTGGGTTCTAGGATTTATAACTCAGGTCCTCCTGTTTACACGGCAGGCACTTTACCCACTGTGCCATCTCCCCTGCCCAGCAGAATGTTTTTAGTAAGGTTGGACCTTCTAAGAACTGAGAATCCACAAGTTATTCTTACCTTAAATTTTTTGACTGACAATAAATAATGCACATCTATAGCTGAGGAAATGTTCGACATTCGTATCAGAGATCTGATATTCTTGTCATACAAAATTTCTACAACCAGTTCTTTCAAGACCAGAGATCTAATACGTATCAAAGTATAAACAAGTCACACACATACACAAAGAAATACACATATGCAAAGATGCTTAATCTTACTGATAAAAATGCAACAATTATAATAAGATGCCATTGTATCAGATCTTTAGGTTTTAAAAATGGCTAGCAGTGATGGCCAGAGAAGGGGGGAATACACATGTCAGACAAATGTGTAGCCTACATTGAAGCATTTTGAGTTCGTATTGATCAGAATTACAAATATACATATCCTTAATTCAGAAAATCCATTTCCTAGTGATTAGGTAGATAGACAAATTGGTTTGGTTTTGCTAGTGTACACAAATAGTTGTAATATCTAGTTATATTAGCACAAAGATTTTCATCAGATGACTAACTTTATTATATGTCCATAAAATGCAATACCATGCAGTTAAGAATGTGACAGTTCTCTGCATTCATGTGGATGTCTGAAACAGTGAAAAAATAAGAAAGCGTCATTGCATGAAAATTACAGCGATTCCTAGAAATCGCTGAAAGTGCCTTCAAGGACTGTTGTCAGTGGCTCTGACTGGACTGGGCACACTCAGTAAGGCAAGTTCTGGCCCCAGTGTTATCTCCCAGGAGGAAAAGCAGTCGCCTGTGGTGATATCTAGGCTGTGAATTTGTCTATTTGTCCCCTGATGGTTAGTATGATTCATCTTGGTCTACGTGTCTCAAAATGGCCTTTTCTGTCTTGTTGGCGTCTGCTAGCTTGTGTTCGGACCGTCCCATTGTGACAGTTCTCAGCTGTACCATGGTCTCTCAGTCCATGGTATGGTTCCTTCTTACCTGATAATGAGCCAGTGTTCCATAGGTACATTGTTTAATGGGATTTCTCAGTAATAACCACCAGAGGGCATGTTTACAGAATTTAAAAGCCTCTGGCTGCCAGCTCCCAGTGCCTGAGCAGTTTTCTAGGGATTGCCCAGAAAATGTGCCTTCTGTTTTTGAGACACCAAGACAGTGCAGAAGGAGTGGGCAAAGCTTCAGGACAGGTTTTTATGGGCCACCCAGGAGCCACAGAGTGATGACACCAGTGCATGTTCTATCCCCACCTCCAGAGTCACTCAAAATAGACACGTAATCTACTTCAGAATTTGATTTGGAAACATGAGTAAATCTAGGGCTCACTCTCCTTCCAGTTAGATCATAATGTTGATGACAATGTATATTACAACACTGGCCCCTCTGTATACAGATGCTGAGGCTGACACTGCCCAGGAGCAGCCCCTGCCCAGCCCTGACTACTCAGATGTCTAGGAAAAGGATGGGTGCGGGGAGGGGGTGTGTGCAGAGGTAGTATATGGCCATGAGGCCCTCATAAAAGAATCTGGTACTTCTGTATAGTACTTGAGTTTGGGACAGGTAAATGTGAGCCTCTTACTAAATTCTGGAGATTGGAGGTATGAGGTGGGGCCATAACCAGAGGCCCTGGTAAAATTGCTTCATTGATTGAAAATATAGGGATAGACTGAGGTAAGAGCTGGAAATGGAAGCTGTAGGTCTGGATATTTAAAATTCATCTGGATGGGGAACATACCTAGTTTGAGTCCCCTGAAAGTAACACATGTGAAAGACTTAGGGAAAGTAGTGTACATGGAAGGTGGTCTGTGTTCAATTCCCAGGGTTGCCATAACAAGTTTGCATATGCAAATTGCTTACATTTCTAGTTCTGTTGGATTAAAGGTCCCGATTCTCAGAGGACTCTCAGGGTCTACTGGTTAACACAGGACTTTTTCCACTGAATCTCCTGCTGGGTCACTTTGGGGTCTTTAAATCAATGGAAGAGTTACCATATTGAAGAGGCAATCAACTTCAGTTGTCCAGAGGTGCTGAGGCAGCTGTTGAGTGATGGGGTGGGGGCTTAGTCTGAACCCTTAGTGCTGGTTATCTCGATACTCTTAGGTCCACTGATCACAGTGAATGGGCAATCAGCCTCCAAGCAGAGTAATGGCAGGATAATGAAGAGCTCAGATTTCTGCAAGGAGTTGTCTGCCTGATAATGAAGGCAGTCAGTCCTACTTCCTCCTGGTTACTCTGGCCCTGTGGATGCTGGCACATGGTACTGCCTATCCACTACAGGCCCAGCTTCTTAAACCATGGGTCACAGCCTCCTGAGTGGTTGCGTAACTGAATGTGGTAGTCATGAAAAATTTAGCAATTGTAAAACTTTTCTGAATGCAACAACCAAAACAGTTAATTCAAAATCAAGCCTGTGATGCATCTGTGGTGTTTCTGGTCACACTTGCCCAGGTTACATCCTGTGACCGCACTGCAGCTTCTGAACACACATCGGCAGTTTGCACCGTGCATGCCATCACAACACCAACAAACGCTGCCTCAGATGACTCAGCCCAGATGTGAGACTATTGCGTGTCATAAATTGCGGTGCTATCACTAAACAAAGCTTTTCACTCTTATAGAAGCATAACTGTTTAATTACAGAACATGACGACTTTTAATACTTTCCCACCACCATTCCTCAGCATATGAGTATCGAGTTTGCATAGCTTTGGATTGGATTGTGTTAGAATGTTTGATGTTAAAAAAATGATGTTTAGGCTGTTAATTTTGAGTTGTATTAAAAAAAAAAAAACTAAATGATTTTGGCTTGGATTTAGGACAGAATTTCTAACAATTTCTGAAACAGCCCTAAACATACTGCCTTTTTTTTTTTTTTTTTTTTTTGTCTGTTTGAGACAGGGTCTCCTTGTAGCCCC